CGTCAAAGGTTTGGAAGACCTTCGATGATTGCAGGGAAATTATTCGAGGCTGTTAAGGGTAATGGTGGTCAATTACAGGATGACTCCCAGGCACTCACTGAGTTTTTAGATAATTTGCTAATTTACAAGAATGCAATGATTTCGATGAATCGCATGAGTGACCTCAACTCGAGTTTTATACTAGAAGTAATAGCAAGACGCCTACCTACTCGACTGCAAAGGAAGTGGGTGAAGATAAGCTCCCGTATGGAGGATGAGGGTATCGAGCCAAAGTTTGATGATATCCTGAAACTGGTAAATACTAGTGTCAATCAATCGATGAGCAAGTTTGCCACCCCTAGAATAGAGTAGTCTGAGAGCAAAACGCAATCATTGATGACGAGTAGGCCTCAGAGAGGGGGATATCGAGAAGGCTCCTTGATGTCTAGTAATGCATATAGACCTAGTGAGTGTAACAGGTTTCGTAGTACATCCTCAACAGATAAGTTGCAAGCTGCAAGAGAAACACGGTTGTGTTTTACACGTTTGCAAGAGGTGCATACAGAAGTGAACTGTGAACCAGTGAGCAAGTTCAGTGATAAGCTAAATGTAAACTCCAGGCCTGACTCCGAATTGTGTGACGATAACGGTGCGGTCAAGAAGTCTGTAGTTGCAACTGGTAAGCCATTGTTGAATAGAGTGTCACAGAATAAAGTTATTGCTTCATAGTGCAGTTCTGACTCCAAAAGTTTACAAGGTATTACTAGTCAGAGTGAAGGTGTAAAATCTTTGGTGATTTGTGAGAAGGAACCAAAATTGTCTACTTCTGTTATTAAAGAGTTTGAAATTGATGAAGTCGACCAGATAGATGACGATAAACTGAATATTCGGGATAATGATCATGATACTTCACATTTGTCTTTGGTTGATCATGATGAAATGGGGGAAATGCCTACTACTGCTAAGTTAAATAAAGGTTCTGTACAACTACAACGTGAAGTAGAATTGAACGCAGATGCAGTTCCAGAAGGTGTGCATACTTGTGAGACAGTCAGTGTAATTGATCAGCGTGTAGCCCACCTATCATCAGATGCTAGTGCTAAACCTGAGCTGATAGTAAAAGACAACAGTGGTAATCTTGCAGTTAGACAACTATCTGAAAGCCGAAAAAGAACAGCTTCTGACCCACCGCTAAGTTCATCAACTGGTATCAATCAGTTGTCGTTGGTGTTGTCATCCACAAGAAAAAGAAGACGCCCATCAACTCAAGTATCTTGTGCAATGACTATGATAGTATTGATGCGTTTGAAAAGACGAAATATATTGATCACTTTAGTGAGGATAAGCCAATTGTAAACGAGAGAGTAATTGTTAAATTGACTTGCATGAATAAAGGCATTTCTAGTTTCAAGTTACTAATTGAATGCTATTATCTTTGGTGTAAATTACTCTGTTTCTACACTTGGTTGATGAGATATGTCGTGTGTTTGTTCGTCATCTTTATTCTACGATACAATGACATGAGCGTGTCACCGTTCAGATTTGAGGGTATAGCTGATAGATGGAAGTCAGCAAGTGAACTCTGCGACGATTTTCCAACCTAGAGCGTCAACCTAAGAAGGGTTGTAGGCGTACTGGTGTAAGTCCTGCGATTCTTCAGAGGAATTCCACCAAGACAAGATCGACGAGGTTGTTTGTACTATTTGTATATACGTGTGGTGTGTCATATCAATTGGTGTTTTTGGATTCATTGTGTTTACTTGTTGATTTCTTATCTTGTTGTTAGTGCGTAATTTTGTTAAAATTTTCGTCGTGATTACTTCTGAAGTTGTTTCGAGTCTTCTACATCCATGAATGAATTGATTGATGCTAAGGACAGCAGATGGGTCGTATACGCCGGGGAGGCTAGGCTATTGCTGAGAATGAAATGCACATGGAGATAATTGTTAGCTGTGGTCCCACACGCCGGGGAGAAAGAGTGTAAACGACTGAGGCCCGCATACGTCATCGTTACTAGAATTGAGACAGAATGAGTGGCAAGCGATTTCAGTGGTAATTGATAGTGAGTAGATAAGAAGATATGCGTAGAGTATCGTGAGGTGCTGCCATGGTCACGTTGCATTCTGCAAGAGTCATTCTGGCAAGTGGAGATTGTGTTGCAAGAGGATGCCTTTAACTGGAAAGCGCAGGTCGTCATTGATGTGTGAGATTGTGCTGTGAGTATGCTTGTGGTGTGTTGGCTTTTCTGTTTGTTCTCCATTTCAGCTCTGTCCGTGTGACCCAGGTTCTCGCAATGGCATCCAAGTCAACGTGTATTGGTCGTGATGGAATAAAAGGATGGATCCGTATTTTGCCGGGGAGTGTCAATATAGTTGAAGATTGAACGATCAATTCATGGTTGTTTGCTCAAAACAAACTTCCCAATTTTCGCGGAGGCATCAATACGACAGTCATCGTCTCATCGGTCGCTGTTCAGAAAGAAATCAGCAGAAAACCGTCAGAAGTAATATTGTGATTTATTATTGTAATATTTGTTCACAGACCTTAGTTGTAACAGTGTTTATATGTTGGTGTAACAATAAAGAATCCTCGAGTCAACAATTGGTGTTTTGGATTTTCGTCCGTTATTACCAAGCGTTTCTGAAAAACTGCAAGGAACAGCGTGGGCCCGAGCGTAGCAAGAGCTGGGCATTAACGGTTTATGAGACGTGGCTGACACAGGCTTATCACGATGCATAAATGGAACTCAGGAACGGGTGCAACGAAAGAGTCACGAGTGACAGGATGTCATTTCGCTAAAACACTCCTGGCAAACGCCAAAAGCTTAATCCATTCATGCCGGGAAGTAACCCAATCAACCAGGGACCATGAGCCGATATATTCAGTTTATCCTTCGTCAAACAGTCGAACAGGAATGTCGGTATTACTGGCACAGACCAAAATTGCAGCACTATCACTTCACCAACGTAAACCTAGTTGCTACTCTCTAAATAGACCCAGCAATAGTACTAGGGGAGCTTCAGAGACCCACGTCTGGAAAGTCCTCATGTTGTGACGACATCAGGCCATTTATTCTGAAACAGTGCGCTGAAGCTCTCTGTAGGCCTCTATGCGACTTGTCCCAACGCCCTATGGATTCGAAGAAACTGCCAAGGGATTTGGAAAAGGCCATCTTTTCTCCTATTTTCAGGAGTGGATACTGGAGAATGCCACCAGTTATAGACAAGCGGAGCTACTTTAATTGGCATCCAAAGTACCGGTAAGTACTATTGATTGTCACATCAGGGAGCACCTCAATAGGCCTAATAGACTCCACGAAGCACACCATGATTTTAGGAAAGGTGGATCCTAAATAACAAACCTACTATCAGCCTGGGACGATTTGACATGCCAAGATTTGAATATTTAAATCCATGTGACCTTCCTAGACTTTGGGAAGGCAGCTGATACAGTTCTCTATGACCAACTCCTACAAAAAGTAATTCAGGTAGGTATAGGTGTACGGCTTCTCCCACGGTTAAAGGAAAACCCAGCTGAAAGGAAATTCTGCAATAACGTCAGTCGAGTTCGATTATCTTAACACGGCCTGTCATCAGAATTTTCCCAGGGTTCTATATTAGGGGCCACTTATATTTTTCATTATCAATGATCCACCATGCCGTCTAAGCTGGCCGACTCTTCTAATTGCTGACAACTTTAAGATATGGAGGGCCATAAAGAGTCCGGAGGACACGGATAGACAGATAGACTGGAAGACTATTTGGTGGCCTATGGTATGACTCTTTACCTGAAAATATGCAAAGTAGTGCATTTTCGTACGTGTAGACTGCAGACTGCAATTTACATCCTGTACAACGAAAGCTTGTCCTGCATAACCTCGGAGTGCGACTTAGGTCTAGTTCTAACAGAAAAAATGGACACAAGTGTTGAACTACACTGGGATGCAGCGAGGGCATATGCGGTCATACACTTTACAGATAGACAGTTGGGTGCACTCAGCCTCCAGCTTTTTCTGAGTTTGTATAAAACATACGTGAGACAGCGGCTAGAAGTGCACAGTATCATTGCAGCTCAGCTGCTGGGAAGATATGTGAACCTTTTGGAAAGAGTTCAAAGACGACCGACAAAAGGAGTGGTGGGTCTCCAAAAGAAAACCGAATGATAAACGGCTAAAGAAATTAGCTCTCATCACACTTACCTACCGTCTCTTCAGAGGGAATTCGATCACTGCCTATAAGACAATAAATGGCCAGTATCACCCAAACAAAGGTGTTCTGCCAGCAAGTACGTATGGACTTCTTTTTGGAAATCCCTGAAATATAGCCCGCCAAAGGTCAAAGACTCGGATGCACTCCCACTTCTTTCCTCTGCGAGTTTGCCATCCTTGGAATTCCTCGCCGGCAGATGTAGCTTTGGCATCATCTAAGGTCAGCTTCAAACAAGGACTGGACAATCACGCAGCAACACAAGGACTGCACCTAAATGGCATAGCCCATTAAAACCCTAAACACCATTCATAGATAGACATCTAAATTCGTCGTTTTACCGCTATAAATTATTTCCTGTTTCCCTGTCATGACTGCTTCAAACATTACGTCCATTACATTATTTTTATTGATATTATATATATATATATATATATACATCAACTTCAAATTTTATCTGGTTTTACTTTCTCTTTCCTTCTTTTACTTCTTAAGTTTGTACAATATGTACTAATTTTAAGTTATTATTACTGCTGTTATCTCTCTTTTCAACCATTCTGGATGACTCATGAGGGTCAACCACAACAAAGTCTTAACACACTGCATACTGCAAACAACACATAATTAATCTCAACACCACTCCTCTGGGAGTCAACCAAATCTACGGCAGTCGAGTCACGGCAAAAACTACGCAGAAGCTTCTCGCAGACCAGGAACCTTTACCTCACATTCAGGAAGCTAGCACAAAGAAATCAAATTTGTTTACACTAGCTCGTGAAAACGATATTGGATATTGGATATACACGGGGTAATTTTGATTATGTGTTAGTTGTCGCTCGTAGATTTGCAGATTGTAACCTTTCTAGTTGTTTTACTTTTTGAGTGAAATGATTTCTGGAGAGAAACAGAATTCGTTGTAGCTTATAGTTGATGGGATTGAGTCATAAGCCACAATCACTGTGTGAATTAGTAATGGCAGCTGCCCATGGTGTGAAAACGGGTAGAAACGGAATCTCCATAGTTCCTACAAACTTCGGTGGTTCAGATTTACTGTCCCACCTTATAATCCACCCGGTTTCCTGACATATATGCTCAAGCTGGGTGTACGTAAGGGTACTTGAACCTTAAGGAATTCCAGCACCCAGTGGAGGTATAGCTGTTTTTTATGTGACTTCTACTCGGCACTGGTATTCTCGCATAGCACACATGTTTATTGAACTCGACTATGCAGCATATATGCCCACGTCCTTACCCACAAACCCCAGGCCCAGAAAAAGATTCTTCGATATAACTCATGTTGCAGCCGAAAACATCCCACTTTTCCCAATTTCGGACGGAAAACTGCCTACAGTTTCACCCACATAACCCAGGTCCGGAAAAATTCTTTCGTGTGTTTTATGTATTTATCACCAATCATGTGCTAAAATGTGTTTTTTTAGGTGAAGTAAATATCGACAAATGAAGATTCCACTGCAGACGTATTTCTGTTGGAGTTAAAACCTTATCCTTTTTGAGAAGTGGATTCACCGTGCTGAATGAAAGTCACTTATAACTGCCTCAACCCGAAGAGCGTGTATTGCATACTGATATGGGCTTGTTAAATAGCACCATTAAATCTGAGAGTCTCCAATGTCTGTTCGATGAATCTGAACGAAGAATCAAAACAGATTTCCACTGTGGTCCATTCAGATCCATATTCGTCTTTTTCCAGTCCATACATGACCCATCTTTTAACCAAAGGAGATTAATTTTCCGCCACTCTGTTCGTCTGTTAAATCACAATTTCGAAGAAATTCGTGAAGGTTTTATTACAGTTAGGACCTATGATATCAGGTTTCACTATGTGCACAAGAACCGAAATGTTGTTCTGTCTTGGCCACTTCATGGTTTGCGTTGGTATGGGAGTAACAAATATTTATTTGTGTTCAAGTCTGGTCGTCGATGTCAGCTTGGTTAGTTTGCATACTTTTATTTTTGTTATTTTGCGCTAACAATACTTGAACCACTCGAATTCTGTCGACTAAGACCGAGTATTTTCAGGCTATTAGGAGTTTGAACACAGGTTGCAATAAAGTTAAGTAAAAAGTCCACTTGGAATTAATAGGGAGATTTATCCAGTTCAGAAGTTGTTTCTAGGTTCATCCCGTTGGCTTATCATCACACTGATTACTTGGAAAATTTGTTAATGGGTTGGTCGCCTAAAATGAGTTGCAGAATTACACTTGATCTAAGATGAGAAGTGAGCGTTTCTTTATCTTTTAGTAGCCCTATGCAAATACTGATTTATTATTACGCAGCTTTGCGTCGTCCTCGTAATTACTTTCAATTTAATGTACACCGAACGTGGATGTTTTCTACTGCTAAAACTCTTTGGTTTACATTTGATGTATTATATTAAGCAAAAGCGAATGTGGAGTAGGCTTTAATCTGTCTGCTCTTCATAGTAGCTCATTGAAATCGGATTCATTTTAAAATTAGGATGATCTTGATGCCATCGACAGACTGTTGCGGCAAACTTTTCCTGGTAACCGTAATTTCAAGAAGAAAATTAGAAATTATTCATCGCCCATTGCTGACATTTTAGTATCGGGCCATCTCTTTTATGCAGAGCACCTGATAAACTGGCATGTGTTATTTCTTGATAATGTACTGTCGTAGTGCGTTATGATATCATCGGGGATATTCACGCAAGTATTCTTTAAATTTCGCTTAGTGAGCCAAAGCTTCGTCAAAATGACTAGAGTTTTATTTGAGAACGAAAATGTGGTCAAATAATCCTGAGTAGATTTGCGTTCCGACCATTTGTGTCCTACTATCATTCCTTTCAAACTAGAAATACCCTGAGTATTTTTTCTAGACTTGTGAAAAAGATGTACTGGTAATCAATACACTGTGGTCTCCAAAATAGTGAAAGACAGCCTGACGTAGATACTCTGTTACACCTCTAGATATTTAGTTGTAATAATTATTACTGTTTGTTATTCATTTTGGTTTTTGGGCCTTTTTCAGGTCCAGCTCTATTTATGTTTAAGTGTAAACGGCCTCAAAAGCTTGTTGACCAAGTTGAAAAGCAAATAAATTTGTTATCGTGCCTTCACTCCAGCCTACAGTCTCTTGGCGAACCTTCGGATCATATTCAAGAGTTATATACAGATTTGGTGAGTTTTAGCGTTATTCATTATTGAAGTATAAAGATAATTTTGAAATTTGGCACTAGATATCTGTGAGTAATTACCATATCACATGTTCACTTTGTGGAAATAGACTGTAGGAAAAAGCTTATTTTGATTCCAAAAATATTTACGAACAAAGTATTACTGTGGTATATGAGGACCAGTTGGCAACTAAACCGTGGCCTTTTAGTATTCTTTCAGGCACATATAATATAACTACTTACAAATGCTTACTTAGCTGCATTTATTGATACCTATGTATGCATGGAAACGTGCATAGATCATATCTTCACTCTTCGACAGATTCTAGAACATAGACACACTTTTCGGCGTCTAACAATTGCCATATTTCTTGACTTGAAGGCGGCCTTCGACTCCGTGGATCGAAAAGTACTATGGCAATGTCTGACTGTGAAGGGAGTGCCAAGAAAGTACATTGCACTAATCAAGTCACTCTATTCAAACTCACGTAGTCGTGTAAGGGCTTATGGGGAATGGTCATCTGAATTGGTAACAACCAGTGGTGTCCGACAGGGATGTCCACTTTCCCCATTTCTGTTTAACTTCATCATAGATATCCTGATGAAAGTATCCTTAACTGAACGTAATCGACTTGTTACCAGGGAATGGTCTTATGGACTTAGAATATGCAGATGACATAATCCTGTTAGGGGAGGATGCTGAGAAAATGCAGAGTCTTCTGAACACCTTGAGCAGCAATCTCCGTATGTTTGGCATGCGATTCGCCCCTACAAAATGTAAGATGCTGCTACAGGACTGGACCACGTCAACTCCTAACGTAGTGATAGGCAGTGAAGTGATAGAATATATTGACCACTTCACCTATTTGGGAAGTTGTATAAGCACTAACGGACTGATTGGCGATGAAATCTCAGAACGGATCCAAAAAGCTCGAGCTGCTTTCGCTGACTTACACCATCTCTGGCGTAGGCGTGACATCCGGTTATCAACCAAGGGACGTGTGTACTGCTCGTCAGTTCGCTCCGTCCTTCTCTATGGCTCTGAAACATGGCCAATACGAGTTGAAGACATGAAAAGGTTGACTGCTTTCGATCATAGATGTCTGCGATCTCTGTCTCACGTTAGGTGGTTTAATAAGGTAAGTAATGTTGACGTTAGGCGTAGAGTGTTGGGCAAAGAGGGAAAATCAATCGACGAGGCTATAAAGTTACATAGACTAAGATGGCTAGGTCACGTGCTGCGCATGTCTAACCATCGCCTCCCCCGACGGGCATTGCTAGCTGATATAGGTGCAGGTTGGAAAAGAGCCAGTGGTGGCCAAACAAAAACATGGCATCAATCCATGAAATCCTTGACAGTTAAACTGAGTAAGGTAGGGAGATGCAGACTTCCGTGTTGGGGCCTCGGGACTCTAGGAATCAATGGCTGGAGACAATAGGTGACATGGCTCAAAATCGTTGTCAATGGCCAGCGCAGATGTATTCAGTCTCTGTAATCTTTCATATTCCTTTCTACTATTACCCATTCTGTTTCACTCTTATACTTGTCAAACTCTATTGATTCTCTTCACTCATCTTCTTGTCTACTTTTGTGTGCAATTTGGAACGTGGCAACTCGAACTCTGGTGCACTTCGGTGCCAAGTTCTATGTTGAATCCAGACAGACAGATGCATGGAAACAAATGGCTTGTTTGACATTTGATGGGTTACATCATTGTTAGTGTAGTTCAGATATCAGAAGACGTGCCTACTATTCAGTATTATGTTCTCTCTGGATTTGAAGCTACGAGATAGGTCCGCTTAAAGAATAAAATGGAGAGAACTGTCCTTTCAATTAATTGCTAATTCTCTTTCTGTTTCATTTACCCCAAGAATAAATCAACTTCCACACCATAGGCAGCAGGGAAGTAACAACCACCTATACACTTCCAAAAGCACATGAAGCCCTCTTGATCATCATTCTTCGTTATCTTTGTCACCCTCATCATCTTACTTCCCTATTACTGTCAGTACGATTCTGCAGTGATCAGTCATCTTCATTTCATTCTGTTAACACAAATAATGATGAGAGCCAGGAAAACAACCCCAGCAGCGTCTTAAAGCCACACCGCCAACTTCATATTGAAGCATTTAACGCTACGACCCTCTATCAAATAGGACAGCAGACGTCACTAGGTAGAACCCTGCCATCTCGAGCCATGGTTGTTTGTTGTGTTTCTGAAACACACACACACACACAAGCCCCTAGTGTGGTTATTCACTTAACTCCAGCCATCCAACAAGCTGAATCTGCAAAATTCACACTAAGGATGTCAGGAGACTAGCTTGCGAGGACTGACAGGTGTAGGGATAGCATCAAGTGTTAGGGTAGGAAGATACGGTTTGAATGGGACCGTTACAAGAAAGAAGGACAGTATAACCCATCGTCGTCTTTTCGTAGTACGCTTACTTTCCAATCGACTGCAGTTCAGATGTACTAAAGGGTGATATCCACCAGACACTATCTAATTTGCTGCAAAAAGCAAAACGCTCAGATATAGTTGTTTTAGCAGGCGACTTCAATGTCCAAGTAGGGGAGTTATGCCAGACTGAGAAGTATGTAGGCGGTACGTGTGGAGTTCCCTGCCAATGAATCGACAGCAGTGGTCGTCTTCTACAGTTATCTTCAGATGATCATCTGTTCTTAGTCAGCACTAACTTTAGGCACAAAGAGAGAAATTGCCTAACTTGGCGACCCTCATCACCAAATCAACGTTGGACTCGAATAGATCACATAGCGATAGGGTATCGTTGGCGAGGGTGTTATAACTGTAGTGAATTAAATGAAGACGTTTTCACCTTGCTCTGTCTGCGCCTGAACTAATCTGCCTATCTGCTTGTCGTACCTTCCGATTTAGTAAAGCACGCAAATATCAAAAGACAAAGGCTGGACTGTGACTGTGTATTGAAGTGCAACAACGACAAAGAAAGCCATGGTATTTATACATTTTACAACAATATGGACAGCTAACAGCATTTGAAATAATTGATCTTAATAGCCAATAACAAAGTGCGTGAGAGATGATAATATACCATATGTGCGAGATTGACAGTCAATAACAAAATGTGTGGGAATGATAATATACCATATATGCAAGATTAACAGTCAATACCAAAATGTGTGAGAATGATAACATACCATATATGCAAGATTAACAGTCAATACCAAAATATGTGGGATCCTATCAGAGGGTCAGTAGAAGACTGCCGCTCCTTCTAGAACACATGCATAGACTGCGATCACGCCCTGGTTCGCGCACGTTTATGTTTACGATTAAATCGACATAGGAAACTGTTGGCAGTGAAGCAGTTACGCCCCTGACTAGATCCAGACACTGAGTCCCTATTTAAAGAAGAAATAGCGAAACGAGTATCTGAGATGGAAAGCCAGACTCCTCCTGAGGAAGCCTGGAACAGTATACAGTTAGCTGTAGACACAGCTGTAAAAGCTGCTAATAGCCTGAATCCTAAAGTTAGCTAGAACCATTGGATTTCTACGACCTCATCCGAACTGATTGACTCAAGAAAACTGATTCCGGCGAGCTACGATTATGATGAGGAGCGAAAGGTACTCAAACGAAAACTTACAAAAAGTCTTCGCAACGACCGTGAACAGTAGTGGGCGACAAATGCGAAAGAGATGGAAAAGACATCGGCGATTGGTAACATCAGACAATTATTTAGACTTATCAGGGAAGCAGATGGCAAAAGGCAAATGATAAGTGAGACAATCTGCGAGAAAAATGGCACCATAAATAGCCCTCAGGATAGACGACTGGAACGTTGGAAAGAATACTTTAGGGAGCAATTTAACCGCCCGACAGTCACGCTTAATCTACTGTACATTCAACATCGGCCTGAATGGGATATACACACAGGTCCTCCATCCCTAACGCAGGTTACTAAGGCTGTCACTAGTCTGAAAGGAGGCGAAGCAGCAGGACCTGGTGTAATGAATCCAGAGGTATTTAAGGATGGTTGAGGTAGTATACTGTTGGCGTTATTTGAGCTACGTAGGATGGTGTTAACTTCCTGGTTAGGATGATATGGCTGAAAATCCTTCTCAGTGGCTCAAATGCATTCACTCTTTGTGATTTGTCATATCCAATAAAACTTTTTGTTCTTCTTGATTACTATTCTTTTTGCCTCACACTTCTGTTTATTATGTCTTTTGAATCTCTGTTTACTTTCTTCTCTTACTTTGTGTGCCACATGGAATGTGGTAACTCGAACCGCTGCACATCTTTGCAAGGTTCTACGTTGAAACCAGTCAGTCTATTGCTCATGTTGAGTTTATATGTATTGTTATATATAACAAGTCTATTGATCAGGTAGTGGACATTCACCTATTAAAATGGCTTTAACTTATTTTACATACCTAAATTAGTGATGTTAAACAACGTTTATATTACATCAGAAAGCGGATAGAAAATGTTAGATCAAAGCGCAACATCAATTAGTCAGGGGTCTCGAGTTTAACTTACCTAGGTGGGGTCCTGTAGGTTCTAAAATTCAGTGATTGGAGATTCTCAGAAAAGCGGCTCAAAATCTTTCACACTGACACCAATTTATTTACTGCGTATCAACTCCCAGCTGTAAAACATCTCCGTTACTCAAGTTATTCTCTTCTCAACCAGGTCCACATTCGGTATATGTCGGTTCGTCGGTTGATGTTTGCTTGTGCTATCACAGTGTGTAGTTACTTAGGCTTCTCCACTTGCTTTGAGTCATAATTTTGTCTACGTTGGTACTATCCACTTAATATGTTGTGTACGTTTATTAGTCTAGATTGTAATTTTATTTCGCATGTGAATATTATGGAAAATTTTTCTAAATTCTCTTTAATAATTGACTTTACGTCTATAAGCTTCCATAAAAAGTGTGGCCTAACTTGTGTTCCGTTTAATTCAGGAAACCACGAACTCACTACCAAGGTCATCAGTTACGAGGAACGCATGCTCTTTACAGTCTTCAAGTGGGGATGCGGGAGGTATAGTTTATAAATGTATTGAAATTTTTCCCGTTATTATCCGTTTTTACTGGTTGTGATTAGTACTAATTCTCAGTAGCTTTTCATTGTGTCCAGGTAAAATAATATTTTTAAAATTTCATGTGTATATTATTTCCATACGTGATATGTCTATTTAGTAGAGGATATGAGGTAACATCATCTACATCCGACACCGAAACTATGCACCAGTGCACTAGCACATGTCTATTGACTCCGTGTTGTCATCTTTGTTTTGGAAACCCTCTGTTATCATCATTTAATTATTCTCCCATCAGTTGTACTATCATTACGCTTCCTTCTTCTACCTTTATCCGTGTGCCTCCGAAGTTTGGCACTTATACGCATATTGCCTAGTCAGACTGCTTTATCAAATGAAAATACTTAATATAGCGTTTCATTCCACGTTTCATATTTTTTTAAAATTTTTCTGGTGAGAATTGATACAGAAAACTGAATAACTTATAGTTTTTGTTTCACTTATATAGATAGGTTGAAAGCATTATCGAACTCCATCTCATTCATGTTTCTTAGACGTAATTCTGCTTAATGACTTTAATTTTTTAACCCCTTGTTCTTTTAACTAAGCTACATTTTTCCAGGATTTTATCATCGGTCATATTTTCTTTATCAAAGCTTATTTAAGAATCATAGAAGTAGACCTCTCTTTCAAGACAGACGAAAGCAAAGGATGTATTTAGGAAAATTACTTTCAAATATGCTAATAACAGCAAAGTTAATGAAGTCGTTTTATGACTCACTGTATGCCTAAACAAGTAACAAAGAAATCAAAATGTAATCAACACCAAAATTTATTATAAAAAAGACTGATAAACTCGTATATTAGTGTTACCAACAGACATGTAGCTGTGTCTCAGTATTTTAGCTACCAAACTACTGACAGAGTTTTAAATCTAATCTCCTCAGTCTGGGCAGTTGACAAATGGTATTTGATACACTGATTTTCAAGAAAAAGAATGTCGATCTTTATCTTTTTTAAATTTCCACTGATTTATAGACATAAGTTAAATTACCGGTATTTATTTGTATGCAGATGTGGAATATTATAGTTGCTTTTGTTGTGGTGAGGATATGCCTAGTAAATGCAATTCAGGAACGGAAAGAATTCCTTCTGACTACTTTATAAAAACACAGTGTAACCTTTATGAATTTGATAAATCGTGATACTCAAACTGCAGTAGTAAGCAAAGAATATAGAAAATTGTTCTTTGATTACAAGAAGATTGGCATTAGTTCTAATTTGAAATGTGAATTTTGGAGTTAAGGTGGAACTCCTTTTTCTAACCTTTTTAGAATCTCGTCAACTGAACTTTGATCTGCTGTCATCTCTAGTGTTTACCAGCGGTTCCGATGGTTATCTTATACCTCATAATATATCTGAACGGCATTCTCCCGACTCTGCTTCCGGTATAGGGGCGTCTAACTCTCCTATGGAGCCAGTCTTACCAACGTCGGTGGATTTACAACTCATGAACGACAATTATCTCCAAGTGGTTTCTGCTTTTGACATACCATCTAGTAGTGTTGAAAGTCCAAATGGTTCTCAATTCGGCCAATATGTTGTTTTGGCAACCCATCCGCATAACATTTCAACCGATTCTACAACAAATCTCCACTTTCCAACTGCAATACGTGTAAATAATGAATATGTTGAAGATTTGGTTTAGCAACAATATTGAGAACAAGCGCCTTCTTATTTGTTTTGAATTTTAATTATTTTTATAATGAATTATTACTGCTGTTTATATGAGATATTTTTCAAAGCTATATACATGTATCATGGGCTGTTTACTGATAATATATTCTTTGTTAACTTCAGTTTAAAGTGTCGCTCTACCATACCGGTAATCAAACAATAAATTATTACTATTTAACTGATTTCCATTCGTAATAAAATTTGTTTTGAGTTCGTCTCCCAAAAATCAAACGTCTCTGTATTCATACATTGCTCACCAACGAATGACTTGTTTCAAAATGTATTTCTTGAAGTTTTAGTGAGAAAACATAACTGTTGAGGACACCAAGTTATATGTGTGGATAGATACACGCTGACCACGTTTGATTAGGTCTGACGAATCGATGGGTCACTGTATTCCGATCCATTAGATTGATGGTTGACATTTTGTGTGATTACATTTCCATAAACAATTTTTTCATCCTGTTCCCTATAAGGGATTTATTTCTTCTATGCACTAACAATGTTAGGTTTACATTTGAAGGCGATTATTTCCGCCAAGTTGATGGTGTTGCTATGAGAAGTCCTTTAAGGTCCCTTTTATGTCCCTATATGTCTTACACTGACAATCAGAGGATTTAATCGAAAATGTGCCACTTTATAGAAGGTATGTAGACGATATTGTAATCATTAGTGATAAACCTTATTCTGCCATCTCAATTTTAAATCGAATGAATGAAGCTCATATCACTAACATCTGTAGAAGAGGAAGATAATTGTTCATCTTTCCAAGACACATCACTTAGTCGACGGGTTGCTGGGTCAATAAAAGGGTCTATTTATAGAAATTCTACCTAGACAGGATTGTATCTTAATTACCACAGTTTCTGCCCTGTTCGGTCCAAAGAGCTTTAGTAAGGTGCCTCTTCACGAATATGCACTGAAGACACACTTGATGAAGAAGAAAGAAAGTTGACACAAACTCTGGTTGGTAACAATTATCCAGACAAGTTCATCAGGAGATATAAAATAATCCGAACACCAAGACCCACTCTACAACTTGCCCCGAAGAAAGACGTGTACATCAAGCTACCCTATATGGGGCATCATGGCAGCTTAATAACTAGACAAAGACTGAACGCTGCTGTTAGAAAGACTTTTTATGCTGCTAATATCGTAATAATTGAGAATGTGAAGCCAATATCTCTATCTAGGCCCTTCGAAGATGCGAAAAATGATGTCACATCCCACTGTATTTACCAATTTGAATGTACGTGTGGACACACATACATAGAGAGGACTCATCGATCTCTGCAAGTAAGGGCTTCAGAGTATATTCCTAAATGGCTCCAGAAACAAATGGAATCTTCAGAACCCATTAATGGTGAGAACAGGAGACCTAACTCCTCTATTGCGAAACATATTATAGAGACAGGACACAAAATTGATGTTAACAAATCTTTTAAACCTATCTATAAAACGTGTTTGGGGCGTATCCTAAAGTTTGTGGAAGCCCTTTTTAGCAATTAGAAAGTTTAAACCACCTTTATGCGTTCAAAAACAATTCGTCATCACATTAAACCTTCGTTGGTAAATTTTGTTTTCATACAATAACAGATGCACTATTACCTCTGCTATTTGGTTTAGTGGTCTTCACTGTTATTTTGACCCTGAACATGTCCTTTTAACTTGACCTAAGTTTTCTATTTTCTCGCCCCTTAACTCTTTATTAATTTCGTATATATTTTTTCCTATGACAAGTCCGTGTGTGATCAGATTGTTCTAAATGTGTTGCTCAAATACATTACATGATTCGGACAAATTACGTCTTCTTATTGCCTTATCCAAATTCAGAAAGGGAACATATTGTTTGAAATCTAGTCTCTGTTCTTAAACCTTACTTTTTACTCCTCCCATTGTGAAATAATTTTCTGGGGAAGGTATAGACTTGTAGCCTTTCGAGCTGATTAACATCTGTAAAGTTCTAAAACTCTAAAGGATATCCGTTTCTGAGATGTGTGTATACATCAATATTTTATTGTCATCTTTTATTACTCATGGAAAATTTCCATTGTAACATTTAGAAAATCAAAACAAGTGATTCAGCGAGGAGACTCTTTTCAACGAATTTATCTTCTGACTAAAGAGCACAAAGAAGAACTTAAACTTTTGACGCATCACAGCGATATACTATTAACACGCCCTGACAAGGGTACAGGTGTTGTTATTATGGATCGTAAAGATTATATCGATAAAATGTCATGTCTACTTTCAGACAGCAGTAAATTCTCGAAACCGAACGAGAAAAACAAGACGGAATCAATTGAGAAACAACTTACCGATACTTTAAAGAGAATGAAGAACAATCATCTCATTCGCGAAGAATTATACGAAAAGATCAGACCAACAGGATCTCTAATACCAAGACTGTATGGTCTACCGAAAATACACATAGCTGGAGTTTCACTTCGCCCTATCTTGGATATGTCTAGATTGCCCTATCATCCAGTAGCTGGGTGGTTAGCTGAAATGCTCAAACCAGTCAGGGGGCAACTATCTAATCATTCCCTTCGGGACACCTTCCAATTTGTTGAATGTATACAGGATATAAATGCGTCGAATAAACAAATGTTGTCTTTGGATGTAGAATCCTTATTTACGAACGTTCCACTGACAGAGACCATATGTTTTATATGCAAATATATTGAAGACAACAAATTGAATATAGAGATACCCACTACAGATCTTAAAGAACTACTTTTGAGATGTACATTGAATGTACAGTTTACTTTCAATGAAACAATCTACAGGCAGAAAGATGGTATTGCAATGGGTTTTTAAAGGTTGAGAGATATTAAAGGTTTGACGTGATATCTCGTTCAACAACTTCTAATTAATTTATTCTCGCGTACCAAAGACAAAGCAAAAGCCAACAATTGATCGTCCAAACCAAGATATATATTTAGTAACCAAAACCAGCCGTTAGACGAACGCTTAGCTAGCTAGTGATCGTGCACGTTACACGACGGGGTACCAAATGGCGGGGATGCTTGACCGGAAGCCTTCAGCTAAACAAGTCGACTTAAACAGTGGTGGTCAGCATCCAATGAGTGATTGCTGTGGTCAATAATTTTGGGGAATTATTTACCGCTACAGCTCACTCCCCCCTAGTGGGGTCGTGAGGACCCTAAGACAGAACCAGCCGGAAGTAAAAAAACTCGATGGTTCCCTTTCGGGTGAAAAAAATCTTCCGAGCGGCTTGGTCTTATGCCTACTGGTTTGTCTGCCTATGCTAATGGGGTGTTTGTACATAGCTTCCTGGTGTTGTTCGTTGGATTCCGTGCTTCGTTTGTTTCCCGTCCAGTGCCCGTCGCACCTGGAAAAGAAAACAAGAACGCTAAGAACCATGTCGAGGAAAATGTACGAAATGAGCTTTTTGGTTAAAAAAAATTATGTGCATTTACTATACAGTAAAATAATGCTAAGTTCAGAACATCGAAAAAAAATACATCTAATTAATTTTTTTGTGTATGTTACATGAACTGTTGAAAAAAAATTTTTTTGTGTTCGGTGGTACTGTATATAAAAAAAATTTATACGTCAAAAAAAAAAGTTAGTACCACAAACGAGTGAGTTGCGTGAATCACACGACTTCGTTAAGTCAAATAAGTGTGCAGATATTCTGGGAACCTTACGGTGCGTCCAGAACGGTTTTTCTTAGGAGGCTCAACCTTAGTAGCCAGTGGGCGAATGCCCTTGCAGTCAATAGTGTGACCCAGGAAGTCGAGTGAGTCAACACCGATTTGACATTTTTGAATATTGATGGTAACACCATGTTGGCGTAACCTGTCAAATGCCAAGTCCAAGTGCCTAAGGTGAGTTTCCTTGTCTGGACTGGCAATGAGGCAGTCGTCTAAGTATGCGTATACAAAGTCGAGACCGCGAAATACTTCGTCGATGAAGCGTTGGAATGTTTGGGCTGCATTCCGAAGACCGAATGGCATACGTAGAAATTCAAAAAGTCCGAAAGGCGTAATGATAGCCGTTTTCGGGATGTCTTCTGTTGCCATCGGGATTTGGTTATACGCTTTAACCAAGTCGATTTTGGAGAATATAGTCGCGCCGGATAAGGTTGCCGTCAAGTCGTGTATATGAGGCAACGGGTAGCAATCAGGGGTTGTTTTGGCATTCACTCGCCGGTAATCACCGGTGGGTCGCCAATCGTTGCTATCCTTTTTCGGAACCATATGAAGTGGGGATGCCCATGGGCTATTCGAAGGTCGAATGATGCCAAGGCTAAGCATATGGTCAAATTCATTCCTGGCGATTCTCAGTTTGTCAGGAGCTAATCGTCGTGCTTTAGATGTCACAGGTTGTCCTGTGGTAATGATGTGGTGCATAACATTGCTGGTTATGCACGGTAGGTCGTTCGACGGGCAGTTAAGTTCCGGATACTTGTCAACGATAGGTTGAAAAGTTGGATCAAGAATTGCCTTTATCTTAACGGGTGACAAACTAGGGCCTATGTAGGTGATGCCTTTGATAGACAGACTAGTAGTATTGTCAATCAGTCGTTTTCGGCGGACGTCTACGAGTAAATCATGATGATTAAGTAGGTCCGTGCCAATGATGGGCATTGTAACGTCAGCGAGAAGGAAAATCCACCGAATAGGTTTGCGTAAACCTACGTTCAGATAGACGTATTTCCTACCAAAGGTTGCGATTGGTTTTCCATTTGCAGCCTGTAAGTTGAAGGTAGGTTCCTTCTGTCGATCTGCTGCTGTAGCAGGAAGGACGCTGACTTCGGCGCCTGTGTCGACTAAGTATCGAGTCTGGCTTATCACATCATGGATGTAAAGTAGGCGGCTAGTGCCACCGGCGACGGTTGCCGCTAACGCGTGCCGGCGGGATAGTTTCCCACAGACTTTGAGACATTTCCGAAGTTACAAGGCTTACGGCAACACTTCGCTTCTTGGCCATAGGTGTTGTGGTACCAGCACCAGTCAGGGTTTTTCAGTGAACGTGGTTTGGACTTAGATCGACCACGCGAGTTCCTGCGTTGAGGAGATTTAGGACGACGGTCAGAGGAGTTGGAAGACATGTTTGACCTAAACATCTGCTGAAGGGAGTTGCATAACTCTGTCATTGCAGGATCCTCACTCGAAGTCTGCTTAGTCATCGAGCATATTTCGGGGACAGACCGTTTAGTTATTTCTAGAATCTTATCTGCAGTAATAGCTAAGTTCTCTATTACAGTACCCTCAAGTGTCACAAGTACGGTCTGTACAGATTGTGGCAACTTGGTTAAGAAGAGTTCTCTAAACAGTCCTTCGTCGAACTGATATTGGCCGACGACTTGTTTCATTCTTGTCAGCATGCTCACGGCTGACTGATCTCCTAACTCGATGTTGCGAAATAATTCATCTAGACGTTGTCTGTCCGTGAGAGCGTTTCTCGGCGAAGTTTAAGAATAGCGTCCCAAAACCTTCAACGCTCAAATGACCTTGAACGCATGCTAGTCGTTGGCTAACGGTTCCTGTCATTATCATAGCTGAAATATCAACCCTATTCATCAAATAAGGAGCAAGTTTCACCCAGATAACACTTTTATTACTGTTTGGACAATGTGTTAACATCTCGTTAGGGTTAGGATAGGGGTTAAGGCGAGTATTGTGGTTAGGGTTATGGTTAGGGTTAGGCTTTAGGGTTAGGGTTTAGGGTTAGGGTAGCGATTAGGAATAGATTTTTCGTTTATTTCAAGTTCTTTTGTCATCCTTATTTGCCTTGTATGTAGTCACCAATGCTCTTACTGGAACCATAGTAACTAAACCGAGGGCTGAGGAGAGGACTACACAGCAAGAGAAGAGAGATGAACCATTCCCAAAACAGCACACCTTCAGTCTCTTTGGTGATTACATCTACAGAAACTAGTCCAAATTAGCAACTGATACTCTTCATCGCAACTGGAACGTATTTTTAAGTCATATCAGAGAAATATAATCCGTTTAATGTTTTTTTCATGCATTTTTGTGTAAATATACGTTAAATTTTATGCAAAATTCCTCCTATTTTCTGATTGGTCGGCTCAAGGTCATTGTGCGTTTGCATCTCTTGGGACTCCATTCTTAAACTTTGCCCGTTTCTCCTGAGGAGGGATGCTTTCAGCAACTCGTACGAGTTACTTACCTCGGGACTCAACATCTGTGATGTTACGTACTTGCTGAATTCCCGCGGTAGGGTGTGAATAACTGCAAGTAACTGTGAACGTTGATCAGTTATCCCATGCTCACAAAAATCTGCTTCAGCTAGCAGAAACCACGTTTCAGCATTATCTGGCCAGTATGGTACGAGCTGAATGGTTTTAGGAGTTGAGCGGATACGGATGACCTTGGGACTAAGATCACTCATGACGAAAATTATATCGAATAATATATGGTACAAGAACAAATACAAAATGGAACGAACTCGCCGGGATTATCTGAGTAATTGTCGTAGATGAAGTTCGCGGTTAGGCTCACCAGTTTAGAGGTGGGCGGATATTAAAGGTTTGACGTGATATCTCGTTCAACAACTTCTAATTAATTTATTCTCGCGTACCAAAGACAAAGCGAAAGCCAACAATTGATCGTCCGAACCAAGATATATATTTAGTAACCAAAACCATCCATTAGACGAACGCTTAGCTAGCTAGTGATCGTGCACGTTACACGACGGGGTACCAAATGGCGGGGATGCTTGACCGGAAGCCTTCAGCTAAACAAGTCGACTTAAACAGTGGTGGTCAGCATCCAATGAGTGATTGCTGTGGTCAATAATTTTGGGGAATTATTTACCGCTACAGGTTCTCCCTTGGGTCCTCTCCTTGCAGACATTTTTATGTCCAGTCTAGAAAATGGTTGCCTGAAGCCTATAATCCAAAGCTTTCAAATGTATAAAAGGTATGTAGATGACACCTTTATTATTTGTAATATTGATTGTAACCTGAATAATATATTAAGTGTATTTAATGAGTGCCATCCTGCGATAAAATTCACACTCGAAATGGAGAACGAGTCTAGCATTCATTTCCTCGATGTGAACTTATCAAGAAGGACCGATGGAACTCTGAAGAGATCGATTTATCGTAAGCTGTTATGGAATGGTCAACTGACAAATTTCTACAGCTGGGTACCCATTGGTCGAAAACGAAACCTGGTCCGGTCGCTTGCCACTCGTATTCGATTCATATGTAGCACTGATACTGTGAAAGATGAGTTATACACTTTGAGGAAAATCTTAATGGAAAATGGATTTCCCCCACGTTTTATAGATAAGAATATACATTCAAAGCCTACAAAACGTGACTTATCAACTGCTCCCAAGAAAATACTTTACATGATCTTAGAATTCAAAGGGGACTTAGCTTCCAACATCATGAAACGAAGGATATCACAGTCCCTGAAAAGAACATTCCCTAAGAATAGCTTTTACTAGCCGACCATTATTGTTCAATAACCTGAAGGACAAGATCCCACTGTCGACCAACTCTATGTGCGTTTATCAATTCACCTGCTCTTGTGGAGCTAGGTATATCGGTCGTTCGACTCGAGTTATGTCCAAGAGGGTGCAAGAACATTATCCTGAATGGCTACGAAAAGGTGGAAGTGGAGCAATAAGAAGCGCGATCATAGAACATCTGGTCGATAATGATCACACAACCTCTATAGCCTCCGCCTTTAAAATCATCTACAAGGCAAAGAGCAATCTACCCAAATCCCTACGTGCCCGATTCATCTGTATTGCTGAAGCTTTGGCTATCGAGACAGAAAAGCCAGATCTCTGAGTACAGAAAAAGTTCGTTCAACCCCTCCAACTTTCATGATCTTAATCCCTCTATGCTAAAATATGGTAATCCCCAATCATATTTTATCTCTACCAATTTTTCATTTTGTCTACTCAGTTTGTATACTCTTCCTTATTAAGTCAATTGTTATTATTACTATTCTCACTTTGAACTGTCCCCGGTATTACTTCACTTGTTCCACTTGTCATTCTAAATCACATCTTTTTTACAACGATAAATTCTATGCTATTAAATTTCACACAATATTACGTAACGTTTTTGTTTTATTCGATTTGTCTACTAATCCTATAATTGCACATCCTTTTTCAAGTTCTATCCCTCCTATGAATTATTCTATATATGACATTAATCTGTTTTGCCACTTGACGTTTAACTATGATTACAATTACAAACATTTTAGTTTTAATTGAACTTCATATTATTATTATTATTATTATTTTATGCATTCGCACCTAAGATTCAATTCCCTCACCGGATATAACTTCTTAAAAACCATATATATACGACTGTACAGCTTGATGATAAATTCGTTGAAAAGAGTCTCTTCGCTGAATCACTTGTTTTGATTTTCTAAATCTTTTATTACATCAGCTGTACAAATACCCTGAATACTCTTGAATAAACCTCTCTTACATTGCAATGGATAGAAAGTGGAAATTTTCATAGTGCCCCGTCCAAATAGGTCATGTTTTGTGAACCATCCTCTTTCCGACTCAAGAATATGCCTACGAATGCAAGTTGGTTCCAACTTTCTCCGTCACATGTAAGACTTAGAGTTAGGTGGAAGAGTCGCATCTTCGTGATTATTGCATGTTACAATAATGTCATCAGGATATCTCCTGTAAAAGGGCACCTTAGCAATCAAGACACCGGATAAATTTTCATTTTAAGACATATTATACACAACAGCCGACATTGGGCCTAAATTGATTTGACAAGTGATTGTGTTACCATATTGTTGTATTGTGCAAATATATCAAATTTTTCAGATTAACTGCGTCTGCTATTAATTCTATCTATACTTACTAAAGGGACTAATTGTTTTGAAAGCATAAAGAAGAATTAGCGAATAAAACACATCAAATTGTTATTTATGAATGTTAGTAACTTGTTTTATCAATCTGGTTTTTAACGTAGCTGATTTGTAATGCAATTTCATTTGGATCACAATATTCAAGCTGTTCCGAATATTATTCATAATGCTTTGTATTATTTCTCATGTTTTACATTTCAAGGATAGTGTCGCTGTAATATAATGACTACCAGTTACGTGTACTAACTGATCAATGTTGCGATTTTGATTTAGTAAATCATCAACTAATGTATCTTGTTTGGCTTGTAATCTCTGTTCCCAGTAGCTGTGTTGGCGTAAATTCCTCGCGCACATTGCTGCAATCTATGAAAATAAGATTAGTTTACTATAGTGAACTAAAAAGTATGTTAATTTTATAATTGTGAAAAAATACTTTAAAAAAAATTTGATGAAATTAAAGAAGACTTAACTGTTGCTTAGCTTTAATCTGAAAGGCATCTGCAGTGCTTGATTAAAATGGGGGATAACGGACTGCTGTTACATCGAAGGTTTGAAGATTCCATATTTTAGCGAAAAAAAGGGGGAGACAATGGGAATTGTTGTAAACTGCAAACACAGGGTCGACAAGGTTGTTCATCGATTTCCAACCGTTAATTATTCCTCAACTTAGTGATGAGTAGTAACATAAAGGGGGAACTGATATTATATAGGATGGGAGTGCTAGAAAGACTGACCATTTAAACCGGTGGTATTGTGTCATACGGTTATCATGCCGTGACAGTCTAAAACGTGTCGTAATTTCTAACATGACTGTACCAGTTACCAACTTACATTTCTGCAATTCTATCTCTTGTTATATACCATTATTTTTAATCCATAGAAAAATCAGAAATCACAGTTTTTGTTATCAGTTTTGTTTTTGTTTTACTAACTAAATCACAAATAAAACTTTATAAAATTAAAATAAACTATTTTTAATTTCTCAGTTTGTTGATACATACTAAGTTCACGAAAAACGGTATCCACGCACTATAAGGAATTAAACTTACTTAATCGCATTCACTAAACATAAACAAACAACAAAAATCGACTATTCTAACTGATTATCCTGCACTAATGGATTACGTCAATAGAAGTTGGCCAAACTATGATGGTTAATTACCAATCGCCTTATTAAAAGGTGAAGTAGGCTGACGGAGAACTATATTAATGAAGACCTCTCATCGCAATCCTATGAGTTATAAGCACTCACCAACTTGTCATTGCATTAATTTAGTCGTGCTAATTTGATAAAAAAGAAATATAAATCATCATGACAATTGTTTTGAGCTTCTCTTCATCCTGGGGATTGCACCCATTTCCTCAGAGTAACATGTCGAATGTAGGATTTTATTGCCTGTGCTTTGTTTTTCAACTCAACGCGCATATTTCATTTCAAGTTGTTTAATTTAAAAAAATGACATCTTTGTAAATCATTTATTAGTTAGCCATGGTAACTGATATATATCTGATGTTTCATATGTGTTCATTGATAGACAAATGTAAATAACACACGGTGAACTTTTTAATGTACGAATGTAAATATATTAACAATATGTACGTATGATGAAGTTTACTATTCGTAATTATAAACAGAACACTTCCAAAAATGTATATTATACGGTAGCTTTCTAATGTGTCACACCAATAGTTACAAGATATTGATTTCAATGCGGATACACTGATTAACGTATAGAGTTAATGTCCATATCGAACAGTGAGCATATTTCACTTACCACATAACTTCTTAATGTTTGTTGCTAAGGCAGGCGTCAAAATTCTACATCCTGCGCTTAGTCGTTTTATTCTTTGAATCAAATATTCATTATGGTAATGTATCAGAATAAGGCTCGCTTATAAATCATATATTTTACCACCGGTGTCCTCAGTTCGGAGGACGACTGTCCATGAACACCGACAAGGCTCTATGAGTTCGGGTATTCCCCCAACATTCAGACATTTCCACAGTACCTCTTGGTTGACGGAACCCAATGCAGCCTTCAGGTCAAGAAATATGGCAAGCATTTCAGAACCTGTCAGATCTAAGGCCTTTCTGGTTTATAGTGGTTTGTTTTCCATGAGCTCCGCTTAGTTAACAAATCCAGAATTTTTGATACTAAGCGAAACTGATCACTTTATGACTATCCAACGGAGATTTATCTTCTTTCGCAAACGCTTGGATCATCTGCGTTTTCCCCCATTCGGATACAATAGTCTCGAATCCCCACACATTATGTAGCATCTCAGCTAAACTATCCAATATTTCATTACCATCATCTTTGAACACATCTGCAGACGTAACACCAGATCCTGCTGCTTTTCTTCGAATCCTTTTCGATTAGAGAGAGCTTGAGCAACTCTGGTTGGATAAATAGTGTCCATATTCCAATCAGATAGGTGTTGGGCTCTGGGAAAATTTAGAGTGGCTTTAACGCCGCGTAACTGCTCCTAAATGTGTTCCATCCAAAGTTACAGTCATCTATCCTGAGAAGTATTTAAACCACCATACTTCTCAAAAATCGTTTCTCTTACCCTTTAATTTTTACATCCTTTTCACTTGATGAGTCGAAATAATTCTCTCGTTGTGCCTACCGATGGTGTTTTCCTGTCATCTCATTTACTTCTGTCTCCCACCTCCGATCATAATTGCTGTTATGACTTCTAATCAGTTTGAATTTGAGAAACCTCCGCCTCCGTCATATTCGAAGCCGCCTGAAATCTAGCTCCTTTTTTATATCAGTTTGGATTAGGCGATAATCGTCTACTGGAATTTACCTACCGTTGGCTGCAGGTTGTCCTCAGTCTTTATCATTATTTCTGCAGCTGACTCACTGGATATTATGGCAGTTTTCTTCAGGATAGGTATCGCTGTTAAACGCAGCTACACGTTTAGTTATTTCCTCTCCCAGAATTTGGGAGCATGGTGATTTCGTAGTTGCTCAATTGTAGATATATACGTGAATGGATTAGCATGTTATCGATGTACACAGGTGTTCTAGAATATGGTGCATTCACTCTTTCTGATATTTATATCTATTAAATTTCATTTTTATCTTCATGTAGTCATTATTTCTGCCGTTCATTTTCGTTCAGTGTAGTTCCTTTGCATTGATTATCTTTATATTCATGTGTGATTTGATGAAATGTATTGACTTGAACTGGTTGACATCTGTGCCAACTTGCAGGCTGAAAACCCAGTTAGTACTTCACTATTTATTGTCTTGATAATCCATTTAGTGTTTTATTCTGACTCTATTATCTCGGTGGCTGTTAGCAGTGGAGTCAAGAGACTTCTCACATTTATTTATATCCCCTCTTTTGATTAGTGTTTCTAGAGAAAATGAAAGCATGAATTTATTACTCCAAGCATTACAGCCTTGTCAGTCAGACTACTCAGGTATGGCTGATTGAGGTAAAAGCGCATATTGCCAAAAATGCCTTAAACTAGTGTTGTAAACTGCACTATATTATTTTTAGGAATCATTATATATATATATATATATATATATATATATTGCATGCACCATGCATATGGTCCGGGGTTCGAGTCCACGCCGACGCACACCTGATATCTAAGGTCGGCCTGCGAATTTTGGGCTACCGATATCCACGCTGAAAATTCCACACTTGTACTAAAAAAAAATACGGTGTGGAATCAAGCTGTAATCAAAAAAAAAAATTATATATATAACAGCTTGATGATAAATTCGTTGGGAAGAGTGTTTTCACTGAATCACTTGTCTACATTTTCTACTCACCCTATCATTCACAGCACAGAAAATAACATTTGTGAGTATGGTTAATATTATACCAATACTGCTTACTAGCTCTGCGTTGAATAACTGATTTTGATCTAACACTGAATCCGTAACAGCTAAATAGTACGATGATAATAATTTGCTTTGTTCTTCTTGAGTTCTGATGTACTGATTTGAAAGAGTTAAGTTACAGGAAAGTTTCTCTTTTAATTCCTCCTAATAATTGGGAATAAATGTGTAAAAGAGCAATAAAATGAGTTATTCAACAAAGGTTTTATGGTGTCTAAGTAAAAAAGAGATACATCACACAGAATTTACGTTGTTCTTGTTTCTATCAGTTGTCCTATACCACTTTCCAGCCTTTGCTTACACAATTTCTCTTCGCCTTTTTATTTTATCTTTTAAATGATATAAAGCGTTGATTAGTGCTAGACAATTTCTTTCTGTATTATTCATCCGCTCAATAGAACTTTCGTAACTGTTCTTGAATTCGGATCTTCAAGTTGCTAAATTTTCGACAGCTAAGTGTGATTACAGTGGCTTTTGAAAAGACAGACATTATCAGTATATGTCCTGTTGGTTGCTTGGCTATGATGGGTCCTTTCATAACACTTTGAGTATGTTGTTGCCACCTTTAACTTCTGTTAATGAGAAATTTAAGTAAGAAATGTTGGCTATTAAACTGAAATATACCCTTTATTGTTTCCAGTAATGAATAGTATTTGATAGGAACAAATTTTTGCGTGATATTATTACGGTGGAAGACAAGAGACTTGTTAACTGAATGTTTCTTTTTTTGGGATTTGATATCTCCATGTAGGAAAATTATATACACCTTATCTGAAAATCGTCATCTGCAGAGGTCTCCCTGTTGTTGTGTGCTACTTCTGCTCTTCTCAATGTATTTCTTTGTCTTATTCTCGTGTCTCCATTGTTTTGCCGCAGCACTGGTTTATTTGCTCTCTTTAATTTCAAGTCTATCACTCCACTATATGTTATTTTTATGCCGATGAAGGTCTCTTTGTATTACTACTGATAAATCTTGTCAGTTGCACACGCTACAATATCATTACAGACATACAATGTAATAAATGTTTTTATATAAACCAAGTGTTATAGCTCATTAGGCTAAACGATGACACTTATAACCGTTCAATAATGATCGTTTGAACATAGAAGAGCTTGTAAGTTTACTTGAATTCAGAAATCACCTCTACATTTTCGAGTTATGCGTATCATCTGAATTTGTATTAGTCCTTTTTTATTGATTCTTCACTAAAAGTTGTCGACAGCAGCTACTTATCTTCGACACAAACCCAAAAATAATTATTTAGTTTGGAACTATCATCTACATAGACTCTTTATGGTTGCTATTATAACAATATGAAAATAAAACTTAGTGCTTGGTAATTTTATGAATGGAAAGTTAGTAAAATTTCAAAAAGTATCATTTAATACTGCAATTTGTAGCCCGGTTAAACCTCAGGTATCTGCGTTAATTTGTTCAGTAACATCAGCGTATTGTATCAAAATGTTATCCTACAACAGACAACTCAGGCGAAAGCAAATCGAGTAGATTTTAGAGTGACTATTTGAATGACTTGTTCTTTGTATAAAACGTTTATTATACTGTGTCCACCGACAATATTTATTCTTGTATAGGCTGCATTTTTACTTCCTTGAGACTGAGATCAATTCCATCTGGTGAAACTCAGGTCACCATGTGGATTTTCTTATGTTTGTATACCCTGCCTCCAATAGCCAAATTATTAAACACTCAGAAGTCTGAAAACAGTTCTCAATTCTCATGGGTGTCATGTAATGCCTCTCAACTCATGATGAGCCCACTTCCTGTGTTATCTGTTCCTTGTTTGCCATTCAAATCACCCATTAGCATTTTAATTTAGCTATTTGTGCAAAGTCTTGTCCACTAATATCTGTAATTGTCTGTAGAATTCTACCTTTTTCGAACAGGTCTACCTTGTTGGTTGGTGCGTAGCATTGGATAACTGTAACTTTTCTTCCCTTTCACTTGTACCTTGCTCCCATCATCTTGCATTCCATGTCCCCATGCTTATCTCTGCTTTCACAGAATGAAGATATGTCAGCTAAATAGCTTCTCGAAAGCTTTTATGGCTGGCATCATCCACCCTCCTTAGTTATAGGGACGAACAAGTTTATTTTTTCTGTGCTTTGAAGTTTCAGTATCTACGGCGTATTTTTTTTCGGATTGGGGGTCGATAGCTCCCTGCCCAATCTTCCTACGTTTTCTTAGCTTAGGACTGGCTGACTAGTACAGTAGGTGACGTTATACCTCTGTTTAGGAATTACTGACATTAAATCTTTATCTCAGCTGACAACTAAAACCTGTCAGTTGAAAGCTGTAATACCTTTAATAGAAAACTATGAAATCTAGGGGTATTTTGTGGTTGTCTTTGTAATCACATAGTACCTTTTCTTGATGCTACAAATATTTCACCACTAAACTTCGTGATACCCGAATACGTTTGACCTTTGTGAACGAAACAAACTGAGCTTCTTAGTGGTTTGTTTACAAAATCATTATAATTAATACCTTCAAACTTTTCAATATTGATTCACGAGATCTCATCAGATCAGATTGTTGCAGTTCACGAGATTTTTGAAGAAGACACATTTGTTCAATTCGTTTTGTAGTGATATTCATTTCTGATTTGAGTGTTTTATTCACTTTTTTAAGGTCAGCAATTGTACACCTGCAATTTAACAATTATAGACAGAAGCACTGTGAGTTATGATGTCGGAAATTACAAGATCAAAGGAATTTAGCTAGATACTAATTGACTACCACGTTAAAAAGGATCAATTATTACATTGCATACAAACAAATACCATTGGATAGGAGAGATCTGAACTTCCAAGCGGGTAGTACAGTTAAGCTAAGGCGAGAGATTTACCACTTCACTCTATATCATCATTATTATCATCATCAAGTCACCCGGTAGTGAAAAGTGTAGTGAGAAATGAAACCAACGAATATGAAATAATGGAACTATAAACACTCAGTCTGAGAATTAGTCGATTATCCCGAAATCAGAATTACACTATTGCACATCTTAGGTACTATAATAGTAATAGTAATAACAATCACTCTATTCCAAACAATAATGATTGTACAGAATGGAATTTTCAGAGTTTTTATACACATGGAAACAATTTAGCTCCTCTCATAAATATGTACATTCATAAAATTTAAATTAGTAATAATAATATTAATGATGAAACCATTATAAACAGTCTTGGTGAAAACCTAATGAACTATAAATAGATAATATCATAGATAATACATGTAATAATAATCTTTGCTTTTACTCTCTAGTTCTGTTATGTAGTCGTCGCTAAGTTATTGTTATGGACTGGTCGAGAAACTAATAGTCCTGACGCGAGAAGGCGGAAATCAGAAGACCACTAGGTTTGCGATGATACTTCTATTGTCCAAACACAAGGAGACGAAAATAAATGGTCTCACACCAAAGTGGTAAGTAAGTAAAGTAGTTGTAAAGTAAAGTAGTTCACACAAATTGTGAATGCGAATATATATAAATAATTCAGACAAGCGTGGGAAAAATCATTAGACAGTCTTAACATGAATGGCTAATTATAATGGAGTGTCGATCCAATTATACATAGCGAATATAGCAGACATGCCAACAAACATATATGGATATATGTCACCAAGCAACGGACTGTCAACAAACACTCATATTATATATAATATAATATAAGGAGAATACACATTATTAAAGGAGACAAGTCCATACAAGTGAAGTGGTCACAGACTAACCGAGCAAACAGAAAGAGAGACCAACATGCACACACACACATAAATATATATATGTGGATACATATCACCTCCACTTTTGAGAAGATGGATGGTTAGTAGGATGTTTACCTGGGGGTTTATCTGGGACCTTTGGGCTTGTTGTTGACGCCTGTCGTTTCGTCTGACTGTTGGGTTTGCGGCTTCGGCTCCGTCCGGAATTGTCTAACATTTTATGCTTCTTGGCTGCATTGCATAGCGAATTTAGTGGGACATCAGCCAGATGCAAACGATCGAACCAATCAAGTCCCAAAAGATTTAAATCATTCTTCGTGACGTAACAAATTCCTGTGAATTTGGTATTGCGGAAGGAAACGGGACATTTGAGTTCACCAATAAGTTTGAGCCGCCCACCACAGGCGCTGACAAGAGACTGGGAAGTATTGGTGATAGGTGGTCTGCCAATATAATTCCAAAGTTTCTCTGATATAACAGTAGTATCAGAGGCGGTATCTAACTGCAGACGTGCATCATGACCATTCATCTGAAGATCAAGATATTTCCGCATAGCTGGTGTTGTGACTTGACGGGTTGCGCGTAGACTCAATGACTTTTTGGGGGATTCAGGACCAACAGTTTGTCGAGCTTTCGCTGGACTTTGACATCTGGGTTTGCGTGGCTGACAAAAACCATTTTTGTGACCGATGATCTTGCACTTGCTGCAACGATGATTTTTGTATGGACAAGACTTTACAAAGTGCCACGCGCCACAGTGCCAGCATGGTGATGGAGGGGTCTTCTTTGTCGTATTTTGTGAAGTTGGACGAGTATCTGTAGATTTCCGCGGAACATTAGAAGAAGTAGGTGGGTCAGGAGTAGATGATGAGAGAGATTTTTGCTCTTTCGTAATGCACGAATATCAGAGCTTCTCGGAGGTGTTGATTCGACCAGGTGTGTGTCTTTCTGCAGATTAATCAGCCGTTGATATTCATCAGCTATGTCATGTAATGTTAACTTGGGATTTTGTTCTAGCTGATTGAGCAGTCGAGTTCGGATATCTGTGAAACGAGGAGATTGAAGACTGCATATGAGAATCAAGGCTTTGAATTGATCATCTGTTAAGGACCTGAGTCGAAATCTCTCACATTCTCGGTTGACTGTGCCAACGTGAGTAAGAAAATCATCATTTTCATTCATTGCCAGCTTGAGGCAACGATAACGTATACTGAATAATGAGGAGTGGTCTCCGAAATGTTCACGCAGCAACTTTATTGTATCATCGAAACAATTGTCACGTGGTTTCTGTGGTAAAATTAGGTTGCAGTACCGTTCATATTCTGCCGGACCCAATTTACGTAGCAAAACTCGCACCTTCCAGGCATCGTCTTGTGAGGCGAGATCAACAGTGAATAAATCCTCATAACGTTGATACCATGTGTCAAAAGTGACATTAGCCTCTGGGTCATAATTGAACTGTGAAATGCTGTTCACAATTCCGTCGACAGATGGTAGCATGGTATGATTGGGATTGCTTGAAGGTGGAGCTGGACCAGTCTGTTGGTTGACGAACATTTCCATTAATTTCATTTGTCGTTCAAACAATAATTCCAATTTAATAGGATCCATAGTAAATTGTTATGTTGTTGCTGCTGTGTGGTTAATAGTAGTTTTCCCCGTCGCCAAATTGTTATGTTCTAGTTTCCCCGTCGCCAAATTGTTATGTACTCGTCGCTAAGTTATTGTTATGGACTGGTCGAGAAACTAATAGTCCTGACGCGAGAAGGCGGAAATCAGAAGACCACTAGGTTTGCGATGATACTTCTATTGTCCAAACACAAGGAGACGAAAATAAATGGTCTCACACCAAAGTGGTAAGTAAGTAAAGTAGTTGTAAAGTAAAGTAGTTCACACAAATTGTGAATGCGAATATATATAAATAATTCAGACAAGCGTGGGAAAAATCATTAGACAGTCTTAACATGAATGGCTAATTATAATGGAGTGTCGATCCAATTATACATAGCGAATATAGCAGACATGCCAACAAACATATATGGATATATGTCACCAAGCAACGGACTGTCAACAAACACTCATATTATATATAATATAATATAAGGAGAATACACATTATTAAAGGAGACAAGTCCATACAAGTGAAGTGGTCACAGACTAACCGAGCAAACAGAAAGAGAGACCAACATGCACACACACACATAAATATATATATGTGGATACATATCACCTCCCCTTTTGAGAAGATGGATGATTAGTAGGATGTTTACCTGGGGGTTTATCTGGGACCTTTGGGCTTGTTGTTGACGCCTGTCGTTTCGTCTGATTGTTGGGTTTGCGGCTTCGGCTCCGTCCGGAATTGTCTAGCATTTTATGCTTCTTGGCTGCATTGCGTAGCGAATTTAGTGGGACATCAGCCAGATGCAAACGATCGAACCAATCAAGTCCCAAAAGATTTAAATCATTCTTCGTGACGTAACAAATTCCTGTGAATTTGGTATTGCGGAAGGAAACAGAACATTTGAGTTCACCAATAAGTTTGAGCCGCCCACCACAGGCGCTGACAAGAGACTGGGAAGTATTGGTGATAGGTGGTCTGCCAATATAATTCCAAAGTTTCTCTGATATAACAGTAATATCAGAGGCGGTATCTAGCTGCAGACGTGCATCATGACCATTCATCTGAAGATCAAGATATTTCCGCATAGCTGGTGTTGTGACTTGACGGGTTGCGCGTAGACTCAATGACTTTTTGGGGGATTTAGGACCAACATTTTGTCGAGCTTTCGCTGGACTTTGACATCTGGGTTTGCGTGGCTGACAAAAACCATTTTTGTGACCGATGATCTTGCACTTGCTGCAACGATGATTTTTGTATGGACAAGACTTTACAAAGTGCCACGCGCCACAGTGCCAGCATGGTGATGGAGGGGTCTTCTTTGTCGTATTTTGTGAAGTTGGACGAGTATCTGTAGATTTCCGCGGAACATTAGAAGAAGTAGGTGGGTCAGGAGTAGATGATGAGAGAGATTTTTGCTCTTTCGTAATGCACGAATATCAGAGCTTCTCGGAGGTGTTGATTCGACCAGGTGTGTGTCTTTCTGCAGATTAATCAGCCGTTGATATTCATCAGCTATGTCATGTAATGTTAACTTGGGATTTTGTTCTAGCTGATTGAGCAGTCGAGTTCGGATATCTGTGAAACGAGGAGATTGAAGACTGCATATGAGAATCAAGGCTTTGAATTGATCATCTGTTAAGGACCTGAGTCGAAATCTCTCACATTCTCGGTTGACTGTGCCAACGTGAGTAAGAAAATCATCATTTTCATTCATTGCCAGCTTGAGGCAACGATAACGTATACTGAATAATGAGGAGTGGTCTCCGAAATGTTCACGCAGCAACTTTATTGTATCATCGAAACAATTGTCACGTGGTTTCTGTGGTAAAATTAGGTTGCAGTACCGTTCATATTCTGCCGGACCCAATTTACGTAGCAAAACTCGCACCTTCCAGGCATCGTCTTGTGAGGCGAGATCAACAGTGAATAAATCCTCATAACGTTGATACCATGTGTCAAAAGTGACATTAGCCTCTGGGTCATAATTGAACTGTGAAATGCTGTTCACAATTCCGTCGACAGATGGTAGCATGGTATGATTGGGATTGCTTGAAGGTGGAGCTGGACCAGTCTGTTGGTTGACGAACATTTCCATTAATTTCATTTGTCGTTCAAACAATAATTCCAATTTAATAGGATCCATAGTAAATTGTTATGTTGTTGCTGCTGTGTGGTTAATAGTAGTTTTCCCCGTCGCCAAATTGTTATGTTCTAGTTTCCCCGTCGCCAAATTGTTATGTACTCGTCGCTAAGTTATTGTTATGGACTGGTCGAGAAACTAATAGTCCTGACGCGAGAAG